CTCCAGCCCTATATATATATAAAATACATAATTTACCAATTCTAAAAAAAATTTCAAATGATGAGTATATTTAACCTGAAAGAAAAATAGTGACTAGAATGCTAGTAGTGACTTTAAATGGGTATTTTCTTAAAGATTTGTGTGAGTGTATTGCCTGCATGTATGTAAGTGCACCCATGTGTATTTCCCACAGAGGCTAGGAGAGGGCGTTGAATCCTCTAAAACTGGAGTTAGGGGTGGTCGTTAGCCCCCATGTGGGTACTGGGAACTGAATCCTGGTCCTCTGCAAGAGCATCCAGTGCTTTTTACTGCTGAGCCATCTCTCCAGCCCCTAGTAGTGATTATTTTACTGGTGAGTAAACACTAGGCGACAGAAGAGTGCATACAGTGAGGCACCCACAGCAGGTATATTTTATATGCTGCTTTTCACCCATTTGCCCCAGATCTAAAATGTCAGCTTTCTCTAAAAGAAAAGTGTGATTTGAATATCTGCCGGTTTCCATGTATTAAGTATTTTTAACGCTGAATAACTACTTCATGCTCATTAGGTCCCCCATCCATGAATCCAGAATCTTTGCCCCCAGAATACTTTGATGTGGCTAAGTTAGAGCAGTCTAAAACAGAAGAAATAGTTACATTGGGGTAAGGAAGGCTTGGCAGTTCAAATACTATGGAATTATGAGGACCTTGGAAGCTGATGGCTTAGATTTAAGGCAAGATCTAGGTATTGAGGTGCATTCTAGACCAGGCAGATAACGTGGAGGAAGTGGGTATTAAAAATGTGAATCAGACCAGAGTGTTAGGATAGAGGAGTTTTAGGCAGGGGCAGAGAGATGATATAAGGTCATACTGCATGGATAGTGTAGCGTGAGGAGGAGAGGGGTCTGCTTCAAGGCATTGCGCACATGCACACACACACATGCACATACGTGCACACGCAGTATTGTGGGAATACAGACAGGAGAGTGAGGTAAGTGGGTTGACCCTCAGAGAAGTCAGTTTCATGCCAGTGTTGGGGTCGCACCGGAAAGCCCGTGGACCTGGGCCCATTAAACTGCCCACTTAATGTGGGAAGGGATGTGGCTGGTGAGCAAGCAGGCCTGTATGTTAGCGGTGCAGCCCTCAGAGGGGCAGCCCTCAGCAGTCGGTGGCTGAGCAGGGCAGCTCGGAACGTATGTGTGCAAACCCTGATACAGGAGCTGAGCTAAGGGGCAGCACTTAGGACCCTTTGTCCTCAGATGGCTCCTCAGAGCTCGCTGAACAGTAAACTTCTCAATAGATACAGTGTACCAGTTTCAAGGCTACTTGGTCCTAAGATGAAGAGCCACACTTAGGGGACATCTGTCTTCTATCAGCTCTTCAAACTGAAAGGTACCACAGAAAAAGCTGCTAATGGAGAGGAAAAGTGGTAGGAAGAATCTTTTCAGTGGAGGAAATTTTTGGTTTTGATTACTGTTTGTCCATATCCTGCAATGATAAAACAGTGTTCTGCACTAATATATCTGAAAACCCCTCTGCCTCTCCACCTTCTAGGTATATTTAGCCCGGAAGGAAGGATCATCTTTTGCTTATATTTCCTGGAAATTTGAATGTGGGTCAGCTGACCTAAAAGTAGATAGCATTTCCATCAAAACAAGTAGCCACACCTTCCAGACCGGGTCAGTGCAGTGGAAACTGCGATCCAGTACATCTCAAGTCACCCTACCTGGAGGTAAGTGCCAACCAGACTGTCCACGAGCCGTGCTTGCTGCCCTGGGCTGCACGGACTGAGCTGAGGTGTACCCAAGAGTACTTGTACACTTGTTTAAACATCTCTCCAAACCTGTTTAACCTCACGTTGTGTTAGAAAGGCTGATGGTTTTTTTATGGAAACAAATGCAGGAACAAAACAATTTCCTTGTTTCAAGTGATACATTTTCTCCATAAAGAATAATATCTGTCTTTTTTAAAGATTTATTTTAAGTGCGTGTGTGCGTGTGTGTCACACGTGCACATGAGTGCAGGTACCTACATCAAATCCCTCTGGGGCTGGAGTTTGAGGTGGTTGTGAGGTGCCTGACATGGGTGCTGGGAATTGAACTCAGGTAAGCAGTACACACTCCTAACTGCCGAGCCATCTCTCCAGCCCCCTGTTTTGTAAGGGTTGATTTTAGTCCGTATGTCAGCCTGTAAAAAAAGCATTCCAGACCACTCTATGCTTTTCAAATTACCAAAAGTTGTGAATTCTTTTTCCCTCTAACAGATAAAACTCTTCATTCCTATAATGATTTTTCTGGTGCCACAGAAGTTATTTTAGAAGCAGAATTAAGCAGCGGAGATGGCAATATTGCTTGGCAACATACCCAGCTGTTTAGACAAAGCTTAAATGACCATGAAGAAAACGCTTTGGAGATAATTATAAGATTCAGCGACCTCTGAGGACTGAGCATTAGGAGAAGCTGGCCACTGCTGAGGATCTACTGTGGCCCCAGTGTGTTGGCTCAGCATGTGTCTAGTTGGCCGTTCACCACCTGTCCAGCAGGCTACCCATCATGTAACCTTCATTAAAGTATGTCTTTATACTGTGGATCATGGGAAGTCTTCGATTAAAAACTCCTTTCCACCATTGACCAGAATTTGACATAAAGTCTTACTGATCTCATATGAGATTCCAATCTGAATACTTAGTATAGTTTTAAAAGAAAATGATGGTATTCATAATTAAATGCTATTCATAACTGTGATAAACTCTTGGGCTCATAGTTAACATTTTCTGGTAAGATTTTCCTAACATTCTTAATGTTGAATAAATATGAATGTAGAGTATTTAAGTTCCATAATGCATGAAGATTTTTATGACTGTAAAATACAGACAGTTAAGAAGTAAAATGGATTATTTTGCCTTACACCGTTTCAATGGTTACTTTGGCTAAAACAAGCCTTTACTGTAGATGCTCAGCACTGAAAGCCACCTGAATACACACATTGTGAAAGCATTTAACACCAACAGCTTAAATTCAAAACACATTATGAATTCCTTAATATGTAGGAACTTGAAAATGCTTTACTTTTGAGTTGTAAACTACCTCATGGAATAAAATGCTCTTGGCTTTGAAACTGTCATTCAGTTTTATCAACTATGTCAAGGTGTTTTGTGTGACTTCACATTATTGCTCCAGTAAAATGTAAGGAACATTTACTAAGCATGTGTGTGGTGTGTACAACGCATTGTGATGCTCTGTGGAGAGGCAATGGGCAAACACGTAGCTCGGCCTCCAGGTCCCTTTGTTGTGTTCTGCAAGGTAACTTCTCAGTTCCCACCCTGTGCAGCTGTGTAGAAAGCAGGGTTGCTGTAGAGTGGACCAGGATCCTGAGCAGAGACCCAGATGCTCACTGTGACTACTGCCAGATCTCTTCCTTGCTAAAAACTTGCACTTTTCTCATATATGTATATGTGTGTGTGTATATATATATATATATATATATATATATATATATATATGTATCGCAAGACCCTTGTCTCAAATAACATGTGGACATGTGGATTGAATAAAGAAACTCCAGACTTGAAGACCAGCTTTGTATATATGAGAGACCCTGTCTCAAAACGTTTTTTTTTTTTTTTCCATGTAGTTTATGTATCTGAAGTTGTTGGTATGTCTTGAATATTAGTTTTCTGGAAATCTCAGACTCTGGAGTTAGTAACAGCCTAAACGGCCAACCAGGGAAAGCTGCAGAGACTTCATACCAGTTTGTCCCTGCTGACTCAGCACAGTTGGGACCCAGTGATCCACCTTTAACCTCCGTGAGGAAGCGTAGAGGTCCGCAGCAGTGATGGTGACAGGAGTGCTGACAGCCGACCGAGTGCACTTCATCGTGGGGAAGAATGCATCCCGTTTTTTACTGTGACCCTAAGGAGAAAGGATGGTAAGGCACACGGTGCCAGCACATGTAGGGAGAAGCTTCAGCGTGGAGCCATGTCCCTGCTCTACACATAAATGTCAACCCTGAGAATATCCAGCAGATGTTGATAACTATATGTAAAAGCCAAGGAGAGAGATCCGAGATGGTTCTGGAAAGTATGTGAAGTGAAGCAGTGAGCTAGTAAGGAGCTGGAAAGTTAGGGAGGTGGACAGATAGCACAGACTTCTGCGTGAGCCCACACTTATTGCTGGGCTCTCTGCAGACCCCGCCGTGTGCCTGTGGCACGTGTGGGAGAGTGCTGGAAATAGCTCACCCGGCCCCTGATGTGTGCTTCTGATCACTTAGCCATCCCTCCTGGTGCTCACCATTTGTAATACACCCTGTGGACCCCAGTCAGGCCCATCGGTTCCTGGGGCACTTTCCGCCGTATGTTTGTGTAGTCTTAGTGCTTTGCTGAAGATTACATTCTGTTTGTTTTTGTTTTGGGGGTCTTTTTGAGGCAGTCTCCCTGTAGCCCCAGCTGGTCTGGAACTAGCTGTGTAGAACAGACTGACTTTGATCGTTGAGCGATCTGCCTGCCTTTACCTCCTGCGCCACCAAGCCTGTTAAGATTGCATTCTTAGTCCAGGTGTGGTGGCGCACGCCTTTAGTCCCAGCACTCGGGAGGCAGAGGCACGTGGACCTTTGTGAGTTCAAGGCCAGCCTGGTCTACATAGTTCAGGTCTGCTGGGACTACAGGGAGACCCTGTCTCAAAAAGACAAAAAGCCTCTGATGTTCTGATCCCTTTACCAGGAAATAAGTGACTGAGGGGAACCTAAGGAACATTCACCTTGCCATGGAACTATGAGGGCCACAGGAATCCAGATCATTTAGTCCAGACTTCTCATTTTTAATTATATAGAACTCAGGCCCAGAGAAGTTAATGACCTGTCCTAAGAGTTCAGTAACGGGTGATGCAGGCAAGATGCACTTGGATCCCAGTTGTTCCTTCTCTCCAGTGCAAGGTTACGGACAGGTGTATATGAGGGCTGTTTTGGTGAATGTTTCTGGAAAAATTTTAGCAGTGGTCAGTGTAAAAGGCACGGCTGCTTGTAGAACCAGTGATTTCTATTTTTTTTTTATCTACAATAAAAGATGTGTATTTATGGTCTGAGCAAGTCTCATAAACTAACAGCTCCATGCATGTCTTAAACACTGGCCGGAAATGGGGTCTGAGCCAGTACACGTCCCAGGTGGCTTGTTGGGCAAAACTGCCTTATTTCTATGTGGGTTAGCATGGGCCCAAGCTGATAGGGGGCACCGTTTCACTCGGTGTCTCATTTATTAGACTGACGCTGGATGACAGGTCGTGTCTCACCCCACTGTGTAGAGGTCAAACAGACGGTAAGTGCGGGCCAGCACAGTGTCATCAAGTGAAAACAACTGAGACCTTACACGCTCCCTAAGGTGCCTTCTCCCCCTCCACGCAAGCTTTGTGTGCCTGCGTTCTGTCCTGGCTGTTGTTTAGTTGTTTGTTTGGGACGGGGACTCTCTGGCCCATTTGACCTAAAACTTAGAGCAATCCTCCTGCCTCAGCCTCCGGAGTGATGGGATTACAAGCATGAGCCACCACACCTGGCCTCTTAGTTTTCTGAAGACCTGCTCAGAGATCCATACAGTTAATTAACTAGAAATCTGTAAGTAAGCCGAGGGAGCCTCCGGAGAGCCAAGGGGGAGGTAAGGCCTCCGTTGCAGCTCGGGGTACTTTCTGTGGGGGCACACCTCCGGTTGCCGCTCGGGCTGGCTCACCAATTTTGAAGTGCTTTTATTAAAGCCATTTTGACTAAAACTTCGAACAAGACAGCCCCGGACATCGGCCGTGCTGCCCCCCGCCCCCCACACACACACCATTTCCTGAAGTAACTGGCGGGATTTCTGATGTATCCTTCCCAGGTTTCCTGTGGGATCTCGTGTGCACAGATCCGTCTTCATGCCTGGTTTGCTCTGTAAGTGGACATGCAGCCTTCTGCCCATTTTCTTAGCCCTGTCTCAGAACTCCGTCCCCAGTCATGAACCTCCTCACTCTAACAGTGTTTCATAGCGGATACGTGTCCTTTATTTACAGATCTCCGTTTTCCCTTCTTGTTGCAAGGATTGCTCTGTGGAACGTTCTTATACATCTTTCACATGGAGTGTGTGCAAACAGGAGCGTTTTAAATCTGGGGGGCTCCACGCTTGACAGCGGTGTTAAAGGACGGCCCTGCCCCCCCCTTTCTGAACTGCAGTGGTGTCAGCCAGTGTTGCTCGCCCCCTCTTCCGTGCCTTTGTGGCTCCCTTTCCACAGAAAATTAGAGCTGGCTCTTGTGTCCAATCTACTGGGGAAAGTGTGTGGTCTTTCTGAGGGTCGCTAAAGGCTTCGCCTGTCTTGGAAAAGCCAGACTCCATGACACTAGGATGATCCAGCACGCCTGCGGAGACGAGGCAAGTCCCAGTCTGCTTCTGAGTAGCTCAGATTGCAATTTCCCAAGAGCCCAGGTCGGAGCTGCCCAGATCACTGCTTTCCTAATGTACCAGAGCCTTGAGAATCAATGGTCAAGATGCTTGGAGTGATGATGCTGCGTAGACGCAGGGAGCAGGGAGCAGGCAGAAGCGGACGTGCTTCCTCCAGCAAGGCTGCGTCTAAACTGTGAACAGCGCCACCAACTGGGGCCAAGCGCTCACGAGCCCGCTTCTCACCCAAACACCACGTGCTAATGTGCGAGGAGTGCGTTAGGTGTGGACTCTAACGTGCACGGCCGCGCACCCCCTGTTCTCTTGTGTGAGTTCATCCTTTGGATGGTCGTGCTTGACTTCGGGCTCCTCACGGTTGCTCTCCCACTCGCTGCTTGCTTGGGGATGGTGATGCCCTCTCTGCCCTGCAGAATTGTCTCAGCCCCTGGCTCCTGGTATCGTAATCCCAATTCTCCTTCACGCTACTGATTTTTCTTTGAAAAGTATTTATGGATAAGGAGCAAGCCAGTCCCCTCGGCAGGCAGCCCGTGTCTCCCCACTCAGTCTGTGGGGTGCTTCCCCGGGGGATGGAGGGCTGCCGAGCTGTATAAGTGGGGCACGTGGCATTCGGCTTTGAGCCTCACCACACGCTCGGGCATCACATCAGCAGAGACCCTGCGCTCCCTGTCCCACCACTGAGATTCGTGTATCTACGAAATGTTCTCTCTTCCTCTGGCATAGTTATTTTCTTCAGTAAAACACTGTGTAATTCCAATGTCAAAGCTGTCTCCAGGTGAGTGCGCAGGCCTGCTTCCACCCCTGGGCCTCGCTACTCTGCTGTCCTCACCCACCCACCTACGGGCTGTCATACTTACGTGTTTGGGCTTCTTCCATTTTCTCCTTTTTGAAAACAGAAGCACAAACCCTCTCTTCCTTCATCCATCACTGTAGATACAACACTGTTCTAAGAAGCCACACTTTGCCGTTTTGTTTTGTTTTTGAGACAGAGTCTCACTGGTAGCCCAGGCCAGCCTTGAACTCTTGATCCTCTTGCCTGAGCTTCTGAAGTTTTATGATTACATTTTTTTTTAGTTTATTCATTTTTATTTTATGTGCATGAGTGCATTAGCAGCATGGGTGTAAGTGCACCCATGTGGTGCAGTGGCCGCAGAGGTCAGAAGAGGGCATCGGATCCCCCTGGAACTGGAGTTACAGATGGTTGTTAGCCACCATGTGGGTGCTGGGAATCGAACCCTGGTCCTCTGCCTGAAAGCATGAGCCACCACACCTGGCCTCTTAGTTTTCTGAAGACCTGCTCAGAGATCCATACAGTTAATTAACTAGAAATCTGTAAGTAAGCCGAGGGAGCCTCCGGAGAGCCAAGGGGGAGGTAAGGCCTCCGTTGCAGCTCGGGGTACTTTCTGTGGGGGCACACCTCCGGTTGCCGCTCGGGCTGGCTCACCAATTTTGAAGTGCTTTTATTAAAGCCATTTTGACTAAAACTTCGAACAAGACAGCCCCGGACATCGGCCGTGCTGCCCCCCGCCCCCCACACACACACCATTTCCTGAAGTAACTGGCGGGATTTCTGATGTATCCTTCCCAGGTTTCCTGTGGGATCTCGTGTGCACAGATCCGTCTTCATGCCTGGTTTGCTCTGTAAGTGGACATGCAGCCTTCTGCCCATTTTCTTAGCCCTGTCTCAGAACTCCGTCCCCAGTCATGAACCTCCTCACTCTAACAGTGTTTCATAGCGGATACGTGTCCTTTATTTACAGATCTCCGTTTTCCCTTCTTGTTGCAAGGATTG